GCGTCCATTTCTAAAGTAGGACTCTATGATAAACACTTTTTGTTCTTGAGAAAACACCATTTTAAACGCTTTTTAAAACGAAAATATTCAAATTGATAGCGGCGATATAGCGCTTTGACAGATGATGTTTAAGTTCATTTGCTATACGCTACGCCCTACGTCCAAATTTTCAGAACCAACTTGACCACGTTTTTATTTGAACGCTCGTTATGTTAATATTAGGTGGAGCTTATTAAATCTGTGCAAAAAGGCAAACAGATACAAGTAAAACGTGCCTGTTTTAGAGAAACAACAAAAAACTGTATTGTAAAGTAATCGTAAACAGTAAATATGATGTTACTAATTGCACCAAAAGAATTAAGGCCAATATAAAGAAAAATGTAGTAATTTAGTGTTGCTAAAATATTATGGAATATTTATATATTTTATTACTTATGTTTAAATTGTTTTTATATAATTAAATCTGATAAAAGCCAGACTAAGATTAGTAAACATATACCTTTTTATTAGTTCAATAATTTTTTGTTAATCATAGGTTACATCATTGACATAATATATAAGACATGAATATAGAACATTGTTTGTTTCGTTTTGCGTTTTGTTTTAGTTGTTGTTAATGGTTTACTTTTGTTTGTCAAACCACTTTTTAAACATGCCAGTAAATATTGACACTGTCAGTCCCAGGCCTGATAAAATGTGAGAGAAAAGTGGTTTTGCAAGGCCTTCTTGACGCTGCTACGAGTACCGAGTTACTACGAGTTACTTTTTCGGACTTTAAAAAAGAACCCGATTTTTCTGGAAAACTGTTGTTAAAGATAAGTATGGACAATTTTATATCAGTCGAAAGGGCATTCAATTTTGCATTCATCCATGATAATTAATATGAGTCATTCCATTTGAAAAAAATTTTCAACTCGTAAGTTTATTAAACGGAGGTCTCAGTATTTTCGAGTCTGAATAACGTACACGTTTTGCTAACAGATGACGAGATAGAGTAATTTATGCCAAAACGAACTGTGAAAACTGCAGGTTTCTAACGCTTACGGTTTAGACGTTATCTAGTCTCATTTAGAGAACTGAAATTGTGATTTTTTTCAAAAACAACCGAATATCCCGAAAACGATGAATTTTAAACACCATATACATTCAATAAATAATACCTAATATTAACCAAGAAATTCAAAAACGCAATAATATACAGGGTGTTCCAGTTAAAATTACAAAGTTATGTAGCGCGCACGCGAAATGGAACACCCTGTAAAGCTAAAAATATTTTATTTATAAGGCCCACATGATTCCAGGCAACTTTTATTAAAACAATTTTTTTATAAATTTTACAGTTACAGAGTTACAGAAGAATCCCTCTTAGGTGGAACACCCTGTATAATTAAATTAAGAAATACTTAGTTTTTGCAGTGACTGATTGCTTCATTTCAACAGATTTATGATTTTTTTATATATCGTAGCTCTCGAAACTATCGCTACGTTCCACAAAATTTTGTTATTAAATTAGGTAGTTGTTTTATTTTGTATTCCTGGTACAAACTGGACAAATTAGAGAAATTATTATCCTCAGTTGACATTTTTTTGTATGTATATTCAGCAA